ATCACTTGACGCTTTTCTGTATCGTTGTGGCATATGATATCATCTGATCGCTCCTGTCGATACCAGTTTTTCCATTATTATACGCTATTATCGCCAAAGGTTTCTGTTTTGGAAGACGACCGCGATGTGTAGAGTCCAAGCTTGAAGTCATAATGGGTGCATGTTTTGTCGATAATATTCTCTAACATCGCGAACATCTCTCCATTTTAGCACCACAATACCGTTGTCATTTTCTCGTGCTATCATTTCACCTCTCTTCAGTGGGTACGACATTACAAAATTTGACATGGATTTTTTGTTATACTGCACAGTTCTAACGACATGCGTCTTCAAATTAAAAAATTTAATTGCTAACTCATACCTCGTGTAAAAGTTATCGACAAACAAAGTTGGCCCTTCATTTAATAATTTATCTGCAAGTTGAATGGAAACGTCTTCTGTTATGCCAACATGCTTTCTTCCGCTGATATCTCGTCCAGAATATACTTTCGCAGACCATGTGTACCCTTCGGTGGAGCGCAGTTTCAATAGTTTTATACCATACTTATGTTGGTATGTATTGCCTGAATATTAGTCGTCCTCTCCAAGGAACCATTGTCTCGTCGACTACAATCTGTTAGTTTGGCGAAAAGACTTTTTGGTAATTGTCTGTCAATATGTTTATCAGAAGTAAAACTTTTTCAAATCTGCTATTCTGTTCTATCGTTTCGTTATTTGCAAAATGCAAGTTTGCTAATAATAATTCAAAATGATTTCGGGACATCCTACTGCGCGGAAATGGAAAATTATAAATAGGGGGTCCGTTGACCATCATGTAACGAGCAGTGTCTGTACTAGACCCATCCAAATCATCAGTCCAATAAATTTTGTAATTTCTTCGGAAGTGGTGGGTTTCCATCTGTTCTGTCAAGCATGATCGATCATTTCACGTTGATGCAATTTTTGCTCTGCATATCTATTAGCCTCTGTGACTAAAAAGCTTATCACTTTTTCATCTAAGAATAGCGAAAGCACTACACTTGCGCTAATGTCAGATAGCAAATCCATTAGAAGCCCACTTTTTCCGGTAAACAGAAATGACTGTTGCCTGTTAGCGAATTCCTTCCACAGAACATTGTCCAAGGAACTATCAACAGAGTTCAGTTCCTCTTCTTCGTCTAAAGCAAGTTCCTCCAACATATCGTCAAGGCCTTCACTTGCACATGGTTCCTCCATATCCGAGTCTGAACTCGATGAAACTTTATTTATAACTCTTCTTCTAAAACTCACTACTTCGCCATCACTACTTTCCTCACTTTCAATTGTACTTTTACGCCGTCCAGTGAACATTTTGAGGATAAAAATATCACTGATGTACGTCTGAGAAAAAGTATGCTTCTTGACTGAATAAAGGATTTGGAATAACTGCAATGAGACCCCTCGCAAACCTCTGGTCGAAAAGATTATCGCTTTCCCCATTGCGGAACTAAACACTGTATTGTAAGGTGTCAGGAAAAATTCGGCACACTTAGGCCAGTATTCAAACGAGTCTTAATATTTCAGTTAGCTTTAATGAATAGAAAAATAATCGGCTCACGACTTTATGAAAAATGAATACATAAAAAATGCAATAAAACGAAAATACGTTCTTCGTCGACGCGACTGATCCCGACCACCGCTTGACGAGAAGTACCCCCATGTCCCATAACGTCTCAAGCGTTTGTTTTTGCTCCCCCAAAATTATCGATGCGCATTTCGGCGCAATTCAAACGGGCGTCGGCACCTCTTACAGTATCTTTTATAATGAAAAGGCACCGGTCTACTCGAGTTGCGTCATTGCTATTCCCGCTTATCTCTCTGTTTATTGTCTGGCGCGCCGACAGCCGGATTTGGGCCCCGCGAGAAACTCGGCCGAATCGCACTGGGCGACGAACGTGTTAAGGCAAACCTGAATTTTTTATGAAACTTCACTGCCCACCGAACTAACGGGAGCAATTACCAAACGCACTACCACTGACCCGGAAAGACGAGGTTAGAGGGAGCGAGTGTAAATAATGTTCAAAATGGTTCACATCACTCGGCGGATTAACTGCATTTGTAGAGCCTAACGATGGCGAAGTCCATGCTGCCGCTTCCGCTAATAGCTTCTGCGACGACTCGGCCACAATGGCATCCATGGGGTATGTGAGGGTATGGAGTTACTGTCTTGGATATTTGTTGGATGGCGCGGAGAGGGGATACCGTCAGCTCAATATGACTCTCTTTCACGGGTGGGTCATTTTGCAATCTCATATTAATCTAAACCATTACGTGGAATTGGGTCATACATGTGCTGCGGCTAATTGTGGTGTTCAAAAACTTTTCACAACGATCTAAGTATTTACATCACTCTTCGAGACGAGGAGCCGCAAGTTTCGCCAGAGTGGGAATTAAGACTATGTACTCTCTCCGCCTGTCCATTACTCCGCGATATCACGGTGGAGATCTTTACATGTTTTATCCCTAGTGCTACGCAGTAATTTTCAAATTCGGTCGATATGAACGCGATCGGATATTATGCGGCACGGATTTCCGAAAATCGCGGATTGTTTCCTTAAACGATCGATTACTTCGCTGGATGTCGTATTCCTTGTCGCATACAGCCAAACGAATTTAGCGAAGCCTATAATTCTTTCTGGTTCAAACTAAGGGTCCCATATGGTCGACGTGATAGGTATCTAGGGGGATTTCGCCCTTTTCTACTGGATGTGAGAACCCTTCTCCTTTCACGTGCTTTCGCTCTGCTAGAATACAATTAATACAGTTCTCTACTATCTTACAGATTTTTGGTTTCATATGTGTAAACCAATAATCTTATTTAATGATCGCTTCTGTTTTCTCGACTGCAAAATGACCAACCTCGTGCGCCCACCTGATCACGCTGCTTTGCATTGACCGCGGTACTATTAGTTTATAGACAGCCGCGGCGGCCTTCACGCGATTCGTCGATAATAATCTAATTGTCTACACCGTATAAAAAGGCATGTCCTACACAATTTTTGTTTAATCGTGCATATATTGGATGATGCGTTCGTATGCGTGCTACATATAATCCACTGAACGCTCGGAGCCCGGAGGCTTGTTGTCTCACCACGCCATAGTATCGATACGGAGTTGAATTTCGGTATTTATCTTTGAGAATATATTTTTCAAATGTTTTAGAAGCAATTTATAGAAAAATTCCTTTTTGATTTTTCGATCGATTTACAGGCCCTCTGACCTTAATTGGGGAGTTGAGCCAAGTTTCCTGTATCATTACGATTGGGATATTGCTATCCTTCATAAATCCCTCTAGTTCTACGGCTGTGGAACGCAGAGAACATGCGTCTCATGTAACAAATTTCCCTGGAAGAGGAGAGTCGAAACTGACGTTTAGGGAGCTTGCAGGTGAGCGGATTAAGACTTCGATTCTTCAAAGGCATTTGTGCAAGCAGAAAGTTTGGTACTTACTCTCTTAATGACTGATATTGCTTTTTTGCCTGGGGTCAGACCTCTTGACAGCCTGAACGTAACTTAATAGGTTTGCTGAGTTTGGGCTCAGTGTTGGACTTGTTTTTCTGGGGGCAGGAAAGGCAGGGAAATTTTAGCCAGTGGAGCTATTGGGATGTTACGGACCACAGAGGTGTTTCTACCTGTGGTGTTAATCTTTTTGCTCATGTATGCCAGCAGCCGTGGGCACTGCATGAGGTTAACCGTGTGTGTTACATCACAGTTTGCACAATTGACTGGAGGAAGGGAGAGCACAGATCCTGGACTCATACTCAGATCTGGACTTGACGCATCGGGGGTCTTTGAAGCAATTGGATCGATTGGGAGTTGCCGAAAGCTTGGCATCTGTACTAGTTGTCATTATATAATTTTAAAATACTAAATGCTTTTGTATATAGCTAGCAATTCCCTACCATAGACACCGTATTTAGTCTGTGCTTTTTCTAATTTTCTAGAAAACAAACTCGGTGGTTCTTGTCTTCCACTATTTTCGTTTTCGTGTTCGAGCACTGCTTCTGCTATTGCTTGTTGGTCACTTGTAAATGTTTTTTCCAGTTTAGGGATCTATCTTATGTGTCTCTTATCGTTCTTTTTTGCTCCCTGTAATAGGTTATTCAGTGGAGCCTGTATCTCACCTGTTTTCGGTAGAAAGCTTCTATAGAAGTTAATAATTCTATAAGAATTTATTTGGTCAATAATAATTTATTTTGTCGTCAGCACAAAGTTCGTCTCGATACAAACGCTCATCACCAACTGCCCTTGCACCTTGCTTTCTTTATTCTTCCTTTCGCTTAAAAACAACGTAGCATCGCAGGGCAGTCTCCCTCCCCGAACACACAACGCACACACGCACTTCCTTAAAACACATACGTTACATATTTTCTTACAATTCTTAGAAATTATCGTAGTTGATTTATTGCTTTTGATTTTTCTATGTAACTTAAATACTTCTGAATTTTTAGGTTAATGCTGAGACTGTACTCTCTCAATCGTTTGACTGTTCAGCGAAGGTGTTCATGTGTAGCAGATGGTATAATCGCTTCCCAACGAAGTTGGGCATGCCGCACCTCGAGATTAAACTCATATCGGCATATAGTCATAACGATGGGCCTGATGTTATTCGGCCTCTTTCCTTGGCGGAACCCCTCGCCAAGGGAGCACCGTACAGCTGGCGCCTGTACGATGCCTGTGCTTGAAATAACCTCTCCTTCTCCCATAGGATCATCAGAAGAGTAGACCGCCCCTCGCGGGGTGCGACTCATTTAGCCGCCCTATCCGATAATACCCGCCGAGACGGAATATTACCGTCCAGGACGTTACCAGCGGGGACCACGAGAAGGCTGAGTCGCATTCGGTCTCTAGCGGGCTTACAGGACAAGCTTCTGTAAGAGTTTCGATCGCAACAAGATGCCATCGCACCCTCTCGACACGTAACTTCCGTGAGGTCGTTATGCCCGCGCCGTCGTTCGGGTGGAACTCACCATCTTTCGGTATTAATCCCCGTAGTCTGTTTTCGAGACTAGGGTCTCTAGTGCCTTCTTATAGGGCGGACACTCATCCTTTCTGGATGGGTGGTTGTGTGGACGCTTGGCCCTCTTGCAGTTTATGCAAGAGGGATTTTCTTCTTTATTTGGGCAATCTTTGTAGCAGTGTCCCTCTTTGGCACAATGCCCGCAGGTGTCAACCGTCGCCCAACAGTGTTTGGCAATGTGGCCAAACGCCTGGCAACGGAAACATCTACCCGCCACGACGTAATCACGTACGCGACAGGCGTGCCATCCGAGGAACAGTCTGCCTCTGCTCAATATTGCTTCCCTTGTTTTGGGTGATGTTTCCACCACCCAATTTTTGCCCTTTGCTGTTTTAAACAGCGGCTTTATTTCATCTGTCGCCAAGTCTTCGTTTTGTGACTTGAAGCTGCAAGCAGCTCTTCCTTGGTCTGGCCCGGTACGTTATACAGGACCAACTTTGGCTTTTTCTTTGTAGGGACTGTCACCTTCAGTCCCTTTTCGTTAGCTTTTCCGCTCTTAATGAGCTTCTGGAGGTCATCCTTTGTCGCCATTTCGACGAGGATGCCTCCTTTGTTTATATGTCTTATGGCTTTAACCCTCAACTTGTCACGGTTGGGGTCAAAGTATTTTTGCAAAGCAACTTTCGTTGCTATCCTTATTTCCTTCATCTTGAAGGTAGACGGTGACAACATGTCTTACCGTTCCCTTTGGCTTCGTTGTTTTGTTGTTATTATTTTTGACCGCAGTCGCGTACGACTGGGCCACCGTCTACTCTGGCTTTTCTGTCGGTGTTTGTTTCTCTGTTAAGGCCTTTGGCCTTGCTTTGGCGCATGCACTCGCCTTTTCTTTTTCTTTTTCCAAGACTTGTATCCGCCTTTCGGCATCCTCAATCTGCTTGGACATTTCCACTTTATCTTTCTCGCTTTTTTCTGTAAGGGCTTGAATCCGCCTTTCGGCTTCTTCCAGCGCCTTACATTTCTCTTCAACTTCTGTCGCGTATTCCCTGGCGATAAAGGTGATGTACTTGAATTCCTCAAGATCGGGAGCAGACTCAGGGCCTATTAATTCCTGAATCTGATCCGCCACTAACTTGCACTGATCGAACAGTGCTTCTAGTGGCGTTTGATCGCCCTCAGGCTCTTTGGTAGTTTGTTCTACCTGCTTAATCTCTTTGTTCTGCCTCTTCCTCTGCGAGGCAGTTTTTCTCTCCGTGCCGGATTCCGAGTCGGAACCTTCCGGCCTCTCCATTCGTCTCTTCCGACGTGATACCTCTTGGGTATCACCCGGTTTTGCTCTGACCGTGTTGAGGAGGGGTGTATCCCCCTCTCCAGCCATCAGAGCGTCTTCTTTCACAATGAGGGCCTTTTGGACCTCAAGCGCCGACATCTTCTTTGTTTGTTTGTTTTTATTATTTCTGACCATAATTGATCCCACGAATAGGGACGAAATGAAGTTACACTCCCGGGTGACGCCCTTTCCAGGAGGGAAGGCTAGATACAACGAGGTGCGCCAGGTGCCTCGAGGTTGGTCGCTAAGGGTTGGTGCACCCACCAGCCACAGACCATCGCAAGGACGGCCCACACCCCATCGCCGCGCACCATAACTTAAGGTTTCGGATTTATTAGAGAGGTTTATCTCCTCGCGGACCGGCCAGTTAAGGCAAGCCCCCCGACCGGTTATGCTTCGCGTACCAACGGGTGGATGTCCCCGTTGGGTCGTTGCTAGACATACCGGCTACGGTATTTGACGACTCCGCGGTCCGTACGGTATAAATATCGCCCAGACGCTCGCAGGAGAGCCGCGCCAGAGCCTCGTTGGCAAACTCGAGAGTTTCCCACGGTACACCACTTGGAGGAGAGGTTGGCTGTGCCAGAATGAAGCTGTGCACCTGTGTACCCCCTTCATGTGTAGCATTGGGAGAAGTCCAGATCTCTCAATTGCCTTATCCATTGGGTCCTAAAAGAAGCCAGCGCTGTGACGTTTCGTCAGTCTGGTTTCGCCAACCCCCCCTCCATGTGGTGGGACCTGGAAATCCTTCGGGGGCCGACGGGGCTCTGGTTGAGGTCCTCGCGTGAGTCCGAAAGCGGTAGCTTAGAAACTGCGCAGCGATGGACCGTGTTCTTGGGATTTCACTGAGCAAGGCCCTGACGTGACTCCTTTGCGCGTCGCGACCTCTTCCGTTGAAAGGGGAAAGGTTCTGGGGAAAGCGCGCAATGCTGTTGCGAAGCTTCGGATTGTTGCAAATCGGACCGCGGAGGCACACATACCGTAACCGATGTGCCTAGCAACGACCCACCAGAGACTCACACCTGGTGATACGCGAAAGCATAACCGGTCGAGGGGCCTGCCTTAACCGGCCAGACCGCGAGGAGATAAACCTCTCTAATAAATCCCAAACCCTAAGTTATGGTGCGCGACGAAGGGGTACGGGTCATCTGAGCGATGGTCTGTGGCCGGTGTACCGCCCCTAGCGACTAACCTCGAGGCACCTGGCGCACCTCGTTGCATGAAGCCTTCCCTCTCGGAATGGGCGTCACCCGGGAGGGCGACGTTTAGATCGGCCCAACTGGTGGGACTAATATGGCCAATCAATCACAGAAAAACAAAAACAAAACTAACCTGTATGTTACGACTAATGAAAACGTGGAGGATTTACTTATCCAGGATTCCTTAGACAGGGTCGACAAGGGGGAGGAGCCTCTCGTTTGGACCACTGGCAAAGAGAGGAATCGGAAATCGAAGTACACGTCTTGTACTGAGTTCAGAACCCAGACTTCAAAAAATAAAAAAGATGAAGCCCCAATGAAAATGCTGGCAAAGGAAAAAAAGAAAAATGACTGCGTAAAATCTGAGCTAGAGGAAGAGGAAAGAAATTACTGCATTTATCTTAAGTAATATAACTCGAGACAGAAGAAACCGACTTACATAGAAACTTTAATTTACTTCTGCCAAGATATAATCCATTCATTTCGAGATGAATTCGAGGATGTGAATTTGAATCTCGATACCTTCAAGCGAAGGATTAAAAGAGCACATGATCAGCATGATCGGCTGTTAAGAAATAAAGCAGAACTCATAAATACTACGCAACTATTCGAGAAATTGCAAGAGGAGAACAAGAATCTCCAACTGCAGATCAAACACCAGACGGAACAAATAACACAGATGAGTGCGGCAGAAGAGCCAGTAATAGAACAACGCAAATCAAATGAAGTGCCTGCGACACAAGAGGTTTCCGACAACGACAAAAAGTCGTATGCAGCCGTGACCGAACAACGTATAAATGAGATGATCCATGAAAAAGGACCGGTCCGACACGTCCTGACTGTATTCCCCAAGAATGCAGAGAACAAAAACAGCGACATTACCAAGAAAATGATGATAAAGAGCTACAATCCGAGTGAAAAGAAACTTAGGGGAAAAGGCGTAAGAAAAATTAACCAAGGGGGACTCCTCGTCGAGACTGCGACGAAGGAGGACCTGGAAAAACTTACGAAGTGCGAAAGCCTAAATACAGCGGTACTCCTAAATACAGTTGGAGTCCCAACAAAGAAACTGCCTAAACTCATAGTGTACAACACACCAAATGTATCGGAATTACAACTTACGGCAGCCATAGAAAAACAAAACGACAACGTAATCAATACCGAGATGATTCATCTAATAAAGCCCCTGTTTAGGACAGGAAAGAGCAAAGAAACTGTGAATTGGGTGATAGAAACCACTCCCAAAATCAGAGAGGCGCTCATAAACAGAAGCAAACTCTTTGTGGAGTGGAGTTCCTGCCTCGTGCGAGACTATATTGTAGCGAGCAGGTGTTTCCGATGTCAGGCGTTTGGGCATATCGCCAAACACTGTCGAGCGTCGGTGGACACCTGCGGGCATTGTGCGCGAGAGGGGCATTCCTATAAGGAGTGTCCGAACAAGAACGAGAAACCCTCTTGCATCAACTGCAAGAGGGCTAAAAAACCTCACGCGCACTCATCCAGAGCGGATGTGTGCCGGGCATACAAGCATGCAATAGAAACCGTAGTATCTAAGATAGATTACGGAGTTACATAGATTCACCAGTGAAATAAGTAATTCCCGATCGACCACGCGGACATAATTTTTCTTATTAATTAGTTATTATGCTGTTGTCTCATTACATTGGCCAATTTCTTCAGGAGTGACAAGTATTTGCAGGTGATGTTTATGGTTGTTATTGTGGAGATTCTCGTTGCGGATACAATTAAGAGAAAATTAAGTCTTAGCGTAGATTAGTATGCGCCTTCCCAGGTCTACCAGCAAATTATAAGTTGCAAGTAATCTGCTCCTATTATGAGTCTAGGGACCTTGGCCACTGTAAAACGCCAGCAGAATTGCCTTCACAAACGTAGTGTTATGGTAAGTGTTTTGCAGCCGCAGGTCTCCACAGCTATTCCATTCGCTGCATATAATTTTAGGATGTCTAGTTGTGTCTTATTATTGGTTGGCAGAGGTATGATGAAGATATCGGCGCCCGTGTGTACTCAAAATTGTAGTCTTGTGTTTCTGTCCGTTAAAACCAGGCAGTTTTGCTGCTCTGCTTCGTCTTCTACCGCCGCTACGAAAGTCGGTTTTATTTCTTTCCCGAACTTTGTTTGTCTGGACCGATGCACGTGCAGGGCGGCTTATATCTGAACAACACCGTCTTGAAGTTCCTGTAGTAAGTAGCATGTGAGCGATCCGCCCGAGCTTCTTCGCTTTGGTTGACTACGGCCTCTGTAGCTTCTGCAACTTTTATACTCGCGGCTTCTGCTGCGTGAACGGTGTATATTTCTACAAACCGTGGATTTCAGTTCATCTATCCGTCTAAGTAATTCTGCTATTTCTGAATTCTTTGTTTCGGCGTTTCCTAAATGGCGGCTATCTCTATATTCCTCGCCCAATCCAGCGTTTTCTCGGCTAATAGTGGCAATTCTTCCACCTTGGAGCCTTCCACTAATGCCAGCAATTTCTTGCATCGCTTGCGTCATCGCTCTCAGGAGTTTTAATGGTGTCCGAGCTCCAAGTTCTATTCTAGAAAATAGCTAGCAAATTTGCACTTCTTCTAATATTTCCAAGCGTCATTTATCTGAATATACGAATTTTCGGTCGGCGGTGCGGCTGACACGTTGTGGCCCGTTTCATCGTTGCCGTATCTAAGTGTGTTATCACCGTGACACATTTTACGGCGTCGGTCTTTATACTGTATACTCGAAATTCGAGCATTGCAAACCAGAGTAACAGCTCCTCTCTTCAGAAGTTCGGTAAGCGTGCGCTGCGGAAATCGCTTGCGTTCACTTCGCATTTCGCTTCTTCTTTCGCGCGTTGCGAATCCTGATAACCCATTTTTCGGTCGTTCTTTTTTCTTTTTGTTGTTATACGGGGTTCCCACGAATTTCGGCACGAATTGCAGAGGATTCTACGATTACCAGACATTCCCTATAGGAGCAACTCCTCAGACTTTCGGGTGGAGGGGCCTAAGTAATGCATTACCAAATATACAAACATATCATCCCATGTTTTTACTGGGCGTCCGAGATTTTCGAGCGTTTAAAATACGGCGTTGGTTCGGCCGCAAAAGTTATTCAAGTTTTTCTGCTGTTTCAGCTCTGGCGGGCGAAGGGTTATAGAGTGGAGCGTTATTAGCCGATATTTGTTTTCATAACGGTCGGAGAGAATCTGTCAC